TCACTAACACTGACATAAAAACTTATCAAGTTGATTTGGGTGGTGGGTGATAGGTGGTTCCACTTACGTTTCGCTTGCGTTTACGCAGCTATTTTTATCAAGTACTTTTCTGATTTTTCACATTTTGTCTTTAATCGAGGACCGCAAAAGTATCAAATGCAGGTAAATAAAAGGAGAATAGTTAGACTCTGCAGCCAATTCTTCCAAAGCCCCCTTGAGAAGCCAATAAATACATATACACGATAAGAAAAGTAAACTATACATTTTTGAACTCTAATAAAATATTTTGTTAACCAACTATGGTTGTTGAGTAGAATTTCATAAAACATAATCAAAAGGTACAGGCAACAAACGATTGTTGACTAAATATAAATCGTTTATACATAAATTTGAATGCATCATAAGACAACGAAAAGTTAGGTACATCCAGGACATCGCCGAAAGTCGCTATATTATAAGATTATATTATGCTTGGGTATAGTTAGCATGTTCCTCCGTCGCAAGTTCAAATGATGCACGTCAGTCCTAAATCCAACTTTTTGATATAAGTATTGGGGGATTTTATTTTTCAAAATTTTGTATAAAAAACATACCATATGATGCTTTCGACGGTTGAACATACTTAGCCACCCAGCATCCTTTAATTTATGTGAAATACGCAAAGGACGCCGTATTTCATATATCATTCTCATACAAGAATTTTGAACCTTTTGTACTCTTCTTATATCAGAACTATCGATACAAGGTCCATAAACTACGTCACAATGATTGAAATGGGAGAGAACCATACTATCACACAACTTGATTTTCAATTTGTAGTTCAGAAAGTATCTTTGACTGTAAATAAGTTTCGATGACAAATATCCATTTTTTAATTTTTGGGTAATATGGTGTTTGAATCGTAACTTATTATCTATAATCAATCTAATATTCTTACAATAATCAGCAACTTCAATCTTATTTCCTCCTACCCTTATTGTCATTATATTCTTTGCTGAGGTCACTTCCTGATAAGTGCCAAATAAGAGTGCAACAGATTTAGTTGAGTTGATTTTTAATGAATGACTATTTGAATGAATTTAATGAATGACAATTTGTCAGAATTGATGCTGTCCGTAGCTTGAAAGAAAGATATAGCTGTGTGTCATCTGCATAAAAATGGTATTTACAGTTTGTCAGGTGTAGAGAGAAGTTGCTAGTGTAAATGGTGTATAATAATGGTCCCAAAATACTTCCCTGTGGAACGCCCTGACATATGTCCACAGAATCCGAAATATGATCATCTAATTTCACCTGTTGCGACCTACCAGATAGATAAGACTCAATAATTGAACAAGCAGTTGCTGTGAATCCAATGAAATGTAAGTTAGAGAGAAGAATAGCATGTCTTAAGGTATAAAATGCCTTGGAGTAATCGAGTAGAACTAGAGCACATATTTCATTATTATCAATTGACCTCAATATATCATCAGCAATAGCACACAGTGTTGATGAACAACTGTATCCAGACATGAATCCACTCTGCTATGAGGGAAGTATATATTATTATCTTCGATGTGTGTTCTCATTTGCAGTTCAAGAATTTTTTCTAATACTTTCGATAGGGTTGGCAGCACGCTTATACTTCGACAACAGAGCAGAATCATGTTAATATTTATAATGTCAGTCCCGAAAGACTTAGATTTTATATCATAAATTATTATGGAAACCTGATCCTCAGTTGTTTGAGAAAAATGCAGAAAACTGCTAATGTTGTCTTTAATAGAATTAGAATAGTAAAATTAACTGTATTAGTTCGAGGTGGTAGGCCATTACTCAGTGAATTACCAAAATAATCATTCAGAATATTGACACCTGTAAGATTATCAGGTAATTCAATATGTTCCCTTTTAGTAACACCCAATTTATTGAATATCTGCCATTGTTGTTTGCTATGCGAATTCTGAAATGTATACTCTAAATATGCCTGTTTTTCTCTTCTGATGGAGTAAGAAGTGAAATTTCTCAACTGTCTGTAATATTCAAGATGAGCAGGTTGTCGACTCCTTCTATACTTTTTGAGAAAGCTCTCAAATGCGTGACAAAGCTGTCACGCATTCTTTGCATCAATGTAATATTATCAGTAATCCATGGGGTGTAATTTTTTTTCTTTTTCGCGAAATACGAGGTTTTCTGTGGTGCATGCTTATCAGCCAATAACAAAATATCATCATTGATGAAGTTAATTTTATCATCAATTGATTGAATATAGTAAATATCATCCCAAGGAATATTTTCAAGGTCACTTTGAAAACTGTTCAGATTGATGTCGTTGAAATTTCTATAAGTATATTTTTTCAAAGAACGTGGCTTCATATTTGACTGCAATGAGCAAGAAATAACGAAATGATCAGCTATGTCAGCATCGCTCACGTCAGCACTCACAATTTCAAAATTAGTAAACAGTAAATCTATAAGAGAGACATTATTTTCAGAATCCCGGGTGGGGCCATCAATTCTCTGTATCAAATTAACCGTGTCGGTAATTGCTTGTAGGTCATTTGATAGCTCAGAATTCGAATCTAAAAAATTTATATTGAAATCGCTTATTATTTTGTCATGATCTGTAAATAAATAAGAGTATCCTCGAACTTTAGGAAACACGTATTATGCGAGTTGGGTGGTCTATATACTATACCTAGAGCATACTTTACTCCTTCTATTTATCATTCAGAATAACCGTGGTATTTAATCCATCTCTTATATATACAGCAGTCCTCCCACCCCTACTGACCAGCCGATCATTTCTCACTAGTTCATATCCTTCAATTGAAACTGCAGCACAAAATATGCCTGGATGTAACCATGTCTCAGAAATACCGATTATGTCATAGCATTATCATTGACGCATTTAAATGAGGTACCAAACATGTGCAACGGATAAAAGTATTGCCATTTGAGAATATACACAGATAGAGAGAGAGAGAGAGAAAAGAGGAAAAAAAATGTCAGTTTGAAGCAAATATAATAACAGTGCGAGAAATCCTCTGCAGAAATTATAAACAGAATAATGAATGTTTTAAGAAACAAAAAAAAGAATATACACAAAAATGTTTTCCCAAGTAATGAATAGGCTGAAAGAAATATATCACTGTTAGATTCACAGCAATAAAGCAAATTTAAATCCAAGCAGTTGTGCACTTCAGTTGTTTTTAGTTCTGCTGCGTGTGGTTACTTTTCCACCATTGGTTAACAGTCGCGAATTGAAATTGCATTTACTCTGATTTTGGTTGACGTGGCCTTTTCTTCCTGAGGAGGGATCTGTCGAATCAGAGGTAGCGCCGCTTGCTGTTCCTAAGACTCCTGAAACTACGCCATCATTCAATTGTTGAGCCGTATATGTCTGACCTTCTATAATCAAATTATATCCTCTGATAGTTGCATGTAGATTTTGTTCACGTGCGCGTTTCATATGATCCTTCAAAATCTTCAATTGGTCTCTATCCTCCTGACACATATCATTGACAATGACGATTCCAGTTCCTTTCAATTTATGGATATTAGATAGTTTTTTTCATATAGGAAATGAATTCCAATATGATTAGATTTTTTTCAGATTTTCCAGCTACATATATATTATTAATATCAGCTTTTGTTAAGTTCACATCAAGGACCTTGTTCAGTTTTAGAAGTGTTCCCTGGGCTAAAGAGTCTTTTTCAATTTCAAATCCAAAAATAGCTACACCGTTTCTCCTTAGTCTCCTCTGAATCCATGTAGTTTGATGTTACAAATGCAAAATATCATCAGCCGTGCTCTCAATTTTCGAATTTAACTCTGAGATACTTTTAGACAAATTTTTTTCCAAATAACTCGTTTGCTCCTGATACTTTTCGAACTTGGTGGTCTGTTCTTCATTAGCTTTCTGAGTTAAGCTGAATAATTCATTAAGCTATGAGATTTTCGAGAGCTATTCAGACACTGAAATGACTCGTGGTGCAAAAGGAGTATAACGATTTCAAGGTAAAAACAGAGCTAATGATAAAATCCACCGACTTTATATGGTTGTTTCAGAGCAATATACAATATTGATTAATAACGTATTTTAATTATTATGTACACAAACAGTGCATTCAAGTTGGATCCAGCCATCCCAAATAAATCATTTGATATTGAGAATGTGAAAAAATCGCGAAACACGTCAACTTTAGTTCGTGGGGATACCTATTTCTATGTAAAAACACACACCATAACAATTAATATGTCAAAAATTTCAAATAGAAATAATGGTAGATGCCACTAAATTTGAAAAATGTTTTAATTATGTATCCAATTCTGTAATATTTTCGACATTGCAATGATAGGCAATGTCAGAAAAAATAGGTTCTAAAGTTTTAATCTCAAACTTGATAATGAAACTGAACATAGAAAGTGTTTTTTATCAAATGTTCAAAGTGAAAACCATCAACTTGCATAATAATAAGTTCAAACAGAGCAAAAATAACAATCTCTAATGATAAAAGTAATAAACTGACAGTGACTATTTCGGAATATTTTTGACATAAACATTAACAACTAGGTAATGAAATTCAGGACCATATTGTGTTTTTAAACAAGAAATTCTCCACCGTGAGTTCTTGTTTCTATTATTTCCATTTATATCATCCAATAGTGCTCAGCTTGGAACATTTCAAGCAGTGAAATTTAGGTAGATCATCTACTCTGAAATTGAATAAAAACTTCAGAGTATTTTAATTTGTCCTTAAATTATAGTTACAGAGTTGGATATGTAATTGGAAAATCTTCGAAATAAACTGTCACTCGACTATTAGTTCTATTTGAAATTGTTGACAACTGGAATTGCAGTGTATTCGGCACACCCGAAACCCCACACCGTTCAATATAATGGTTCGGAGGTTCCTGCCCGAAGCCGTTAATTTTCATACACCAACGATTTTTGAAATCTCTTTCAATTTCATGCAGATATGCGTTATTTTCTAACAATAATTTCTGTTCATTTCAGTGACTTCGAAGCCAAAGAATTGATCCTCAACTTGGCTCAGGGTTCGCCAAGAGAAGACTTATCAAGTTCACCACGATCACCAATACACACACCAACGAGGACTCTATCATCACAACAAAAATACCATTCCCCCCATCCCACAAATAGAATAGCCTCCACTTTAATATCCCCCCAGACGTCCTCCACCACAGACGATGACTTCAGCGATTCCAACGGAGGAATAGCCTATCCCCCACCTGATTATCCATCGGTGTTTTTACATTGTTACGGAAACGAAGACTCGTACTACTCCCAGCAGGAAATGTTTTATACTTACTCTGATACCGAGATCAGTCAACACGTGACCTCTTCAGTAACGTCGCAACAAAGACCTTTTAGCGCATCTTCGAGTTCTTGTAGTTCTTCAGAAAGTGAACACCTACATTTGCAGAATACAAGTAACAACTCGTATTGCAGTGAATCGCACAATAACTTCAATGTAAACTGTTTCAACAATAATCAGTCACAGCCGCAGAGTTGGCAAGGACACGAATTCAAACCTTTGAGCACCGCTAATCATTCGGCAGGATACACCAGCGTTATCGTGGATACACAGCAATATCAGCTGGCTAACGAATATGTGCACTGATTGAAAAGAAGTAGCCGAATTGAATCATGACTTCTAATTTTGAAAAGTGTTCATGAGTGTTTCTCAAATTTTAGTAAAATTACTGAAAAATTTGTGTTATAGGAATATTCGGTGAGGGTTCTATTTTGATTTCAATAATGTCGACCAGAGATTATCAGTAATTATCTTTATCAATTAATTCATGACCACTATTTTCATTTCCTGAAATCACACTGAATCCATAGTAATTCAAAGTTAATTTACTGACGTTAGATTAGATAATTATCTAATCTAATTGGTTTCTCTGCTATTTGATGTTTGTAGTTAAATATCATCTGAAAAAAAATAATGTTTTCACAATAAAAAAAATGACGGTTGAAATCCTATAAAAACATATAAGAATTGAGTAGGGTCAAAGCTATTACAATATGCCCATAAAAGGACTTGAAAAAAGGTAAACAACTGCCATGACGAAGATAGTATATCAAAGTTTCAGGAACGACTGACTGTCACTCGATCAATTTTAAACCATTCAGAGCCCCCCCCCTCATTTTGCCACCATTCACCAATAATAAATAAGATAAGTTGCTTAATAATTATATATGTTTCACTTAACATATAATTGTGCCGAAGATGATTGTGCCAAAGCTATTTTCCGGGGTAAAAAAGATCCCTTGTAGCTTGCTAAAACAAGAGAAATTGTCGCCTCGAGCAAACCGACAAATCAGCTGTAGCCGAACATGCACTCAACAAAGAAGGCACTCACATCATATCATTCGAAAAAACACAAATACTCGATAAAACTGAAAACCAATATTCAAGAATATATGAAGAGGCAATAGAAATTGGGAATCACAGGAATACTTTCGAAAGAAAGGAAGAGGCAATGAGCATTAGTAAAATCTGGCTCCCTGTCCATAATTGTACATAAATAAGGCCATTTGATTCAATTAGGAGAAACTAAGCCACGTCTATCAATGATGATATAAAACCGGAGACAAATTCCGACATTACAGTTTCTGCGTTGAGAACAACTCGAGTATTCGACCGTTACCGCTTCGCCTTCGATAATGTCTACCGTAGTAGTAGACGGAACGTACGGCATATAAACCTACAGATAATTGGAAAGTAACTTTGACACAGATAATCATCTCTTATTGTTCCCAAACGTCATGTACAACTATATTGCAAACATTACACAATTTAACTAAATGAGACCGAAGAATGTGATGTGTTATATCCAATTTTCATCAGTACTTTCAGAAATGTCCCGTTATTTAAGTTTCAAAATAATGGAGGTATCTGCTGTCGAGTGAAGTTTTGATAATCAATAGAAGTTTCCCATAACAAAATCAATAAATGTACTGAAATTAATATTTTCACATATTTTCGTCATGAAGAAGAGCTTTAGTCTGTTACTGATCAATACTAAATAGTCTGATTTTTCGCATATTTTTTGCCATTATTGAATCTAGTCATATAGGTTATACTATTTTAAATTTTTACATACACGTACTCTCTTATAAAAATATGAATGACCAAAGTTTCCCGTTTGAATATATTCATTTTTATGGAACAAGTGTATTCTGTTATTAAAAATACAATTCAAGATAAATTGATAGCACACTTTCAAAATTGATGTTATAAAAAAAGTTGAAGTTTAAAATTATTCTCTAATTACCTATACCACGTGTATATTGAATTGAAAAGAGAGAAATGCTCAATATTTTGGATCATCAGTTAAAAACAATTAGATAATCAAAGACATCTTCCAACAAACAGTCCAATATATACAAACAATCAATTTAAAAAGTTATAGAAATATGCTGATCACACAAGACAAAATATAAAAAAATGTTAACATACCAAACACAACGGGTTTTCAAAATCGATATGGTTTGAGGAAAATTACCATTCTAGGAGAATGCTTATTATAAATGTTGGTGAAATATTGATAACGCAAACTGAATAGTCGCAAATTGATCGTGTAACTATTCGAAACAAATTAAAATTTCATCATTTGCAAATCGATCTGACGAGAGTCTTTGTCCCACGAAATTAACCTCAAGATTAATAACGATATAACGATCGTTATAATTGCATCAACGATATAAATATCGTTGATGTAATTATAAATCTGACTTAACGTCCACATTTCCTGATCGTGAGGTAAACGTTCTCTCATGAAACACAAATAACCATTATACTTTATTTCGTTACTGAATTTTTCTCCCTTTACCTACATTTTGAGATCAACTCATGATAATATGATATTGTACTTTTTTGGGAAAGAAAGTTTTTGGCTTTCTACTACTCCATCTTGATACAAAAAAAGGATGAGGGAATCTTCCAAAGAAAGGAAGGAAGTAATCAAATTGGAAAATAAGTAACTCTATACATGGATGTGCAGATCATGCAAAGAAGTAACTTTCAGACACAAACTGAAAGAAAGTCCTCCTGAAACAGCTACTTTCATATAAACATTGAATTACACGAAAGAAAAAAATTCTTTCGAAACAAATACTTCTATATGAACACTGAAGTATACAGAAGATACTTTTCTCTACTCAGTTTGCATTTCAAACAGTCGTTGTGGAATAAAAATCAGATATCATTCACATGAGTTACACTTTAAATGAATGGTAACAAATTGCACTTACATAGAACACTGCCATCTTCACTGGAATACACCGATGTTTCGCCTTAAGACACTTGCCCTAAGGCTCTTCAGTATCAAATTGGATAACATTATAGAAAATACACACACTTCATTCATGAATTACGAATTTTTAATGTCGCGGAATAAGCTTGATCTGCTTATGTCATCGATGACATCGTAATGACATTCATTCACCTATTTGATTTAATCATAAGCAGATCAAGCTTATTCCGCGACATTAAAAATTCGTAATTCATGAATGAAGTGTGTGTATTTTCTATAATGTTATCCAATTTGGTACTGAAGAGCCTTAGGGCAAGTGTCTTAAGGCGAAACATCGGTGTATACCAGTGAGTATGACAGTGTTCTATGTAAGTGCAATTTGTTACCATTCATTTAAAGTGTAACTCATGTGAATGATATCTGATTTTTATTCCACAACGAATGTTTGAAATACAAACTGAGTAGAGAAAAGTATCTTCTGTATAATTCAGTGTTTATATAGAAGTATTTGTTTCGAAAGAATTTTTTTCTTTCGTATAATTCAATGTTTATATGAAAGAAGCTGTTTCAGGAGGACTTTCTTTCAGTTTGTGCCTGAAAGTTACTTCTTTGCATGATCTGCACATCCATGTATAGAGTTACTTATTTTCAAATTTGATTACTTCCTTCCTTGGAAGATTCTCTCATCCTTGTTTTTTGTATCAAGATGGAGTAGTAGAAAGCCAAGAACTTTCTTTCCCAAAAATTAATCACTCCTAAAAATATAACCCCTTCAATTCAGATATTGTACTGTATATTTATTTTTAATTTGTATAGATATGACAATAATATTTTTGACTGTGAATATAGTGTAAATATATATCATGTATTGTAAAATAGTAATAATTATTAGTTTATTACAATATATTGTACTTCAATAATATTGAAGCCAACCAAATAAAGTTTTCGTTATTTTTAAGTTTTGTTTGAGTGAACACCATCAATAGGAATCTCATACAACATTTATCAAGTTCTCGCTTTACGATTGAAATGCTTAAATGTCAAGTTGAACTTTGTATTGGAATTTTTTGATACAATTTTTTAAAACGCAGTAATGAATGACTTGCCATGCTGATCTGTAATCTTGTCGTGTTTTGAGATACAGGATTAGGATACATGTTAGGAATAATCACATGTTAAAAGGTAAGACCTCATTAATCCTTAGCTCGCACAAGTTTCTACTTCCGAGGGTTGTCGTTTGTAGGGGTGCGACAGCTGGTTAACGGAAAAACAGATTTTAGAACTGATTTAGATGTTACTACCGCCATAATATGTATTTTATCATAGAAACCTGTATTTTCAAGTCATTGTTAATCGCATAATATGTTGAAGAATATAACATGTCGGTACCTAGAATTGACTCAGGAATTTAATTTCTTTTAATTTCAAATACTACTGGAACTTATTTTATCCTCAATAAATCATTTGATTACTGCAGCTAAGTTGTAAGCTGAATTTGGTTTCATTGAAATTTCAAAATACCTACTATTGCTAATTTTCGAGACATTTTTTTTTTAGTTTTCTACTTCACCATTAATATAATAAAGAAGAGTCACCTTCAAAAAAATTGAACACTATTTAATACATGTCCTTATCATAACCTGTTATTTGAAAATAAATATCATTTTTGGACGACAAATGTCAATGAGAATTTCAATCGCAGATTTTTATTTCAAATATAAATCATCATAAACGTCCTATTTCCCACATAGACATTGAATTACACAGAATTCACTTTCTCATTTCATGACTACAATTTGAAACCAAAATATGCACTTTTCACCATCACCAGAAATGCAATACTCTTCTGGACGCGCGTTTCATAAAACAGTTGACGTCATACGACCTTGAGCTATATACAAGGCCATATTACCTTGAACTGGGGGTTGACCTTGAGATTCGAGCCTAGCTGAGTTAGATGACCTTGGAGAATGTCTGAGGTTCAACCTCTAAAAAATTTGTGCATGAAATGAGACCTTGAACGTGGAGTTTGAGCTTAAGAATAAAATTTGACCTTGAGATTTGAAGGGTAGATTGCATATACGGTTAAGTCAGGATTTGACAGTATCCCTCATTAGTACTCTGTACACACGTCTGCAAACCACAAAGATCTACGAACTAATGAGCGGCCCTACCTGTTAGCTACCTTTCGAGGAAGAGTGTACATATTTGCATTCCGTGTAAAGTTCCGACGACCACTGACTCTTATCTCGTATCGCGGCAGTATCGCCACAGTGAACGTTTTTTAAGCGGTGTATGAAATAGGGACGCAGATTCACCACTGAGATTTGTTTTGATCTCAAACTTTGCGTAAAAGTACGAATAAAAAAATCAATTGCAAGATGAATAAGTTGACTCACCTTGTTTGATGTAGTATGGCAGAAGGATGTATGGTAGGAGTGGAAGTTCCTTATTAGACAAGGAAAAATCGCACATGTAACTTTGTGGGTTCGCACCACGACGTAATTGTATTGCAGTTTTTACACCCAATCACGACGACAAAGGTTTTTCGTCTCTCTGCTCCTCTCCTTGAATATATTTCGGAACGACAAATTCGAGGAAAACAAAAAAAGAGGACAGGATCGGCATGAGTAGATTTGAATAGTAGGAATAAGTAGTAGGATTTCATCAAAGTAAGGTTCTTGAAAAACAACAATTTAAATTATTTGCCCGCATAAATTGTAAATGCACCCTAAACCATATTTACAATTGTGAAACAAAAATAATGAAAGAAAATAAAAAAAAAGAAATAAAAATTTAATGTTTGGTAATGAACCACACAGAACACCCTAACTTTGGCACTTTGATCTTCAAGGGGCGATTTTTCGTGTCCTTCCCCCACTCCTTAGTATCACATATATCAGCAGCAAATTTGAATTGAATGAAATTAATGTAGTTCTGAGTGTACCTACTTCAGCAATCGATTGGAAAATATATTCAGGGATTCCTTCTGAACTGACATAATACTTTTGTAAGTTTGGACAAAAAATCCTGTATATTTTTCCCTACTTTTCATAAAAAAATATTCGATAATCTAAACTATCGCAACATAACCGGTAGATT